TTTCAAAACACTTTTACTCTCATTATTTCCTGTACACTACCATGCAAAATAGGTTCAACAGATGTTAACTCATTTCACCATAGAGGGATTACCTTGGTTAGAGACTCAGAGCCAGATTTAGAACTTAGGTTCCTTAGCTTGTCTTCATAGCTCTTTAATCAATTAATAAATGAATAAAGTTATTGGGAAAGGTTTCCCAGAAAGGTGGAAGCTGAGGTCTGCCCAATGTTAGATTCATTTATTCATTCAAAATTTTTTTTTATTGAGTACCTACTATGTGTCATTCAGATTCTAGAACTAAGGGAATAGAGTAGGGAATCAAACAAACACAACAGACACCAATCCCTGCCTTTATGGGGTGGGCTTACTTTTGAAATAACATTTAAGGACAAGAGGAAATAAGCCACATGGTTGTCTGGCAAGAGAGATACATACAAAGAAAGCAAATAATAAAACGACCTGATGGGAGCCACTCCAGAGAATCAGAAACAAATGACACACTCAAATCAGGAAAATTTAGGTTGGGAATAGTAATAGAGAGGCCATTTACAAAGGTGTGGATAGGGAATCTCTCTCTTATTTACCCCTGGAAGGGAAGGATTATGGACCAATGCACACATGATGTTCAGAAACTAAATATATTTGTGAGTTTTGGTTTTGCATGGTGGCAGTAGCATGTGAGCCATCACAGACGTGGCCCAACCCCATGATGTCTCCTTAATCATTACATAAGGCCAGCTTTCAGGGTCTGGGAGTTTACCCCATCATGGAAAGCCTTTAAAGTACACTTGACCATGGAAAGAAACCCAAACCCCTGTGATCACGTCAGAGGATGGACACCTTTCCTGTTCCTTCATGTGGAAGTCATTGTTGCCTTTTCATGGACAGAGAATTGCAGATTGATGGAGCTACATTTTCATAGGCACTTTGGTGTCAGAGCATTTACACGAATATGCTTTGGGCATCTCCCCTCCCCACTCAGGAGACGATGTCTTAATTATTTTGACTGAAGCCAGACCATGTTGTGTGCTGTAAACATCTGGTTTATCATTCATGCAGCTGAACTGGTTTATATTTTGTTAAAAGAAAAGACTTTGGATTAAAGGCATTTAAGTAATTAAACACATGTCAAGACAATTTGGTGATGGGTAAATATAGTCTCTGCTCAGTGCACCGTCTGGGGGCTCTGGTTTAGATTTACGTCCGGCTGGAGTGCAGGGATGAAAGCAGCATGCCGGGTGGATTGGGCCCTGTTCTGGGGGGGGGATCAAAACCAAATGGGTTTTCAGGAGTTCAGCACCGTTCCTCTAAGAACCTGTCCTGATGGAGTAGTTTCCTTTGAGTTTGGCCTGGAAGGACTAGAGCTTAGTCCCTGTCACCCAGAGCCACTTGCAGATTTAATAAGACTCTCTGGGAGGCAGACCATAAACTGTGTTTTGATTGATCCTTTGTGTCCAGGAAACCAGAGATGTTTCAGAAGCTAAATGCTAGGCCTCAGGTTTGTGTTATGAGTGTGTGTTTTCAGGTACCAGTCTTGGGCCCGAGCCCGCTCTGCTCTGTCCCTTGGTCCTGACCCTATGGATGCAGAGGACCTATCTGGCTGGATCAGGCTGTGCAGAGCTGTGGTTAGTGCTGAGCAAAGAGGAAGCACAAACCTTGTCCTTTGGGAGTTACAGTTCTAACAGCAATAGGTATGAAGTACCTGGTGATTTGATGGGACTTAGAAATTAGGGAGGGTGTCCCTAGTGAGCTGTACTTAGAGCCGAGACACTGCTCTTCTCTGTGGGTAGAGGGAACACCCTCCATGCTTTCTCCCTCTCCCAGGCCCCATGTCTGGGAGTAATGGGAAAAGAGGTTGGGCATCTCTCTCCCTGGGTCTAGAACAGAGAGGAAGGACTATAGACGTGATCCTGAAGAAGAAAGCTTTGCCATTATGGCCACATGGATGGAACCAATTAACCCATTTTTGCTGAGAAGAAAGGAAAAAAATGAGAATTTCAATTTTCAAAGCAGAGACTCTTTTTAAAAAAATGTTTGATTATTTTCTTCTTCTTTCAGACCAATTTTCATGCTTGTTTGGGGGTAGAATCTTGGTTTCTGAAGTCTGTGGGTGACCCAAGAGGACAAAACAATTCCCATTCTTGGGTGAAGTTGTGGATGCACAGTGACTTTGCAATTTGCCTCTGCCCCCCCATTCCTCTTTCTTTTATGTCCTATTCCCTCCCTCTGCTCAGCAGCCAGTGATTGGGATTGCCCATAGGACACCATCTGAAAAAGAGGAGGTCTGTAGCCCTGGGAGACAGAGACACATTCCATGACTGCATGTGGGGGCTCTGGTTATCTGGGTTAGGATCACATGAATCATATTGGCTCCAAGGCAAAGAACCATTTGTTGGGCTTCCTCTCTTAGGAAGTGGACTAATGAATTGGAGTTTAAAGTTTCTTCATCAGCATAGATTGCCAAAGAAAACTGAAATAGTGAGGAAGGTGGGTGCCTGTGATAAATGGAAAGTCACTGAGATAAGTTTAGCCATAGGGTGGTTATTTGTAACAACCATTATTCTTTCTGTGTTCCCAGCAGGGAACTTGGTGCTATAAATAAGAGGCAAAGGTGAAAGGGGAGTGCTCTCTGATTTCAGGTACTTTGTAGACCTTTGAGGGACACGAAACAATTTTGCGCACACAAAATTCCACAAGTGAAGCAAGCTGCCTGCTTTAGGCATGCATTGGAAAGGAAACTTTATTTGAGATGGGGGTGGGGTGCACAGCTTTAGACCTCCAATGATTTGAAATCTTTCTGAGGATCTGGCAGTAGGACCCAGGAGTTCAGGTTGTCAGCCTAATTCTCTCAGACACTCAGCTACTGTGCTCAGCAAAGCTGAGAATTAGCAGAAGAGTTCAACACCTGTTTAATTTTCCCCATGCAGTTTTGAGACTGTCTTTAGGGTGTATACTGCTGCCATGGCAACCATGGGGTGTGGGGCAGGGGGTAGACAGGGAGAGGGGAGGAGAGATTGGGTGGGGTAGTGCGTGGGGTGTGGTCTAGTTGAAGACCTACCCGCCTGTGATGCTTCAGCCTCTATCCATGTTGACAGCCCTTGTGTAGCTTTGAACTACCCCACCCCCTCCCGACGTGGGACTCCTCCCCTTGATTATTGTAGGGTGGCTTCACATTGCTGTGGTTATGGCTCTTGAACTGATTAATGATGCTCAGAGTGAAATTGTAGTCTTGCAAGTAGGACAAATCTGCAGCTCATTGAGCCTTGGGGCACCCCTCCCCCAACCCGCACTCCCTTTACCCACCCTCTGATCCCCCTACTCCCCAAAGTTATTTCTGATGTTTTATGTTCATGCCAAGGAGGAAACTCAAAATCAGTAAAGGACTGGTCCTTTGGTAATGCCGCTGCACCAAACACAGCTCTCAACTCATTGGAAAATGGCCACTTCTGCTGAGTGCCCCCTGTGGCCTCTGTTCCCATTGGGCCCATGGCTGGTCTTTCTGGCATCCAGTATCCTAGAACTGAGCGAATAGGCACAAGATTTGAGGAAGGGGTGGCTGACAGAGGAGAGAGGATTGTTTAAGAGCCTCTGCAATTTCTGGGCTTGTAGGTGGGGCATTGGGTAGAAATGGGAGGTGAAAAATCATGAATTTTAATGAGTAACTGTTGTTTAGATTTGTTATCCAAATCTGTCCTTTATTCAGAGCCCTGAAAATGCAGATTACTTAAGAGTTGAGATAGCATATATGTGTTTCCCTCCAAAACCAATTTTCTCCTCATCTCACTCCTATCTATAATCTCTTTGGAAAGAATGATTCAGGGCAGAAAGTGCATTTGAGACGAGGGAAATCACTATGTAGCAGAGACTCCCTACACGCCCCATGATTAAGTGTGCCTCCCAGCATGGCAGGATCCTCGGTGCTGGAATTGGTGAGAATAATCCCTCCCATCTGAGTCAGGCAGAACATGTAGACCACTTCATAGCCGCTGAATAAAATCATGAACGAAACAATAACCATGCCTCAATGCTGAGCACAAAGTTCTCTGTTATGAGCATATTAGAGCTAAAGGGACAGAGGCCATTGATTCACTGAACATATATTTCATAGGCTTGCTATCGGCTGGTGGTGTTGAGATTAAAAAATGAATGCCTTGTGTGGCTTTTCAAACTTTTTGGTCTCAGAGACCCTTTATACTTTTAAATCATTGAGAGTGCCCAAAGGGCTTTTGTTTAGGTGGGTTATATTGATTAATATTTATTACGTTAAAAGTTAAAACTGAAAAACTTTTAAAGCACATGAACATGCAAACATACATTCCATCAGCTGTCATGGGATGATGTCATCACATGTCACAAAACTGCACTGTATACTCATGAGAGAATAGGGATGAAAAAGAAAATAATACCTTAGTACTATTATAAAAAATAGTTTTGACCTTATGAACTCACTGAAAATGTCATGGGGACTCCCAGGGTTCCCCTGATCATACTTTGAGAACTACTGCCCTGCATGCCCCTACCTGAGGCAGCTCATGGTCCACAGATCAGCCATGGACAGGAATAACCACCACTCTGTGCAGGAACAGAGTGAGTTCAGATAAAGTGCTATGGGACATATTTTTATTGATCATAATTACAGTAATTTATATAGTCATCCCTATGCTATCATTGAACATAGATATTCTCAACTGACGTTGGTGGGCATGGAGGGGGCGGTGGAGGAGGAGAGTTATTGGACTGGAGAGATCTGAATACGTGAGGACAGGAAGCATGTGAAGTTTGAGAGAGCCTGTCTGATATCAAAACATAACTTTGTATTTGGGAAATGAAAAAATATTGCTCTTACACTAAGAACTAAAGCTTGATAAAAACGCATGTAGATTGGGAGGCCACAGAGGAGGGTGCAGTGATTCTCAGCTGAGAGGTGGGTTAGGGCTTAATATGTGTCAAAAGAAACTCCTGCCCTAGAGTTATTATTTTCATCTTCCTTTCTTCCATAGGTATTAACTTTCTGATAGCAAACAATATCTATGAGGCAGCCTACCCTCTTCATGATGTAAGTACCATTTCTGTCGGCACACTCCCTGCAGGCCTAAAAAACTTGAAAACCACAGGCGATGCAGTGGGCGGATATATGCGAGGCAAGGCAGGAATGAATCATGACATTAAAATACTTTGGCTGATTCTGGGCAGCTCATGACTGACCATAAGCCCCAGTTTGATTTTTGCCAGTTGTCTGTCCAGTTATTTCCCCAAAGGCAGAATGAACTGGTTTTATTTGAGCTTTCCCTACACTCCCTGCCTTTGTTTTGGGGGAAAGTGTGAGAAGGCAGAGATGGCCTGCAAGTGGTCAAAGGGAGGAGATGTTGGAAGTGGGTGGATGGCAGTGGAAGGAAAGCCTATGGCTTGGATAATACACAACCTAGACCATCAGGTCCTTAAATAATTGAAAGTGATGTTTGTATATGATAGTTTTGTGTGGATGTGAAATTCCTCGTCCTTAATATGCAAATATATACTAAGTGTCATATTTTTATTTTATGTTAACATTTTTGAAGAAAATATCTCAAAATTATTTATACTATTGTTGGGTTAAGTAAAGAAAACAGATTGTAATCAAAGCTTTACTTGACTGGAAGTGATGTTATAAACATCCCATAATGCAATGCAATGACATTCTTCAAGTTGACTCATGAAGAACTTAACTGGCCCATGGATGAAATGCCCCCACAGATGCACTATTCATTTGGTTGGTGACTTCTTTAGCACCTGTCACAGAGTCTTGCCGAGGTGGGGATCCCTGAATGCCTGAAGGAATTTCCCAGATGACAGTCTTCTTCTTACTGACATCTTTATGATGGGCATATATGAGGTTAGGTTCAGTCAGTTATGGGCAGGGGTGAGCAGAACATGGTACTGGGTGATTTCATGTGATATGCCCATTTGCAGACACAAGCTGTGCCATTGCACCTGCTATGAGGAGGCACAGGCTGACCTCTGGAGCATCTGAGGGGAGTATCTGTCTGAGAAGTTGTGCATAGAAAATATTGCAAAGGTTGATGATTTAAGAAAGTGGAAGGAACATTAGTTCCTTACCATATCATGTTTTTGACCTTCCTCAAATGAGAATGAAAAAAATAGGATGATAGTAAAAAATAAAAAGAAAGTATTTTCTCTGTTATTAACAGTTCCATGGGCTTTATCTAGCACTTCTTTCCCTCCTACAGGGTGAATATGATAGTCCAGGGGATGACATGAATGACAGAAAGGTAAGCTGGCTTTATGCTGCACTGAATGCTTGAGCATGGAAGACCATGGATGGGTGTGGAACTAGATAGAAGTGTCCTAAATGTTTGATTTATCTGCTTATATATTTTTCAGCAGTCCTTCCACTGCTCCCTGCCCTCTAGCCACTTGGAAATGTGAGGGCCATTTCTGGTCATTGGCATGATTGTGTGTATGGGGGTTCTGCTGGTATGAAGTGCCTAATGGGCCAGCTAGGCTAACCCTCTCACACAAAAGCATTATCCCATTTCCTTATGACAAGAAGGCCTTAACTGAGAAACACTGGAAGTCCAAATTCCTTAATTTATAGATGGGGAAATGGATGCAGAGAAAGACTTTGCACCTTACCTGTGACAACACTGCCATAGTAAACAGAAACAGGGCTTGGGACACCTCTGACTCTTGAATCCTGCTAAAAAATTATTTTCCATGCCATTATCTTTTTTGGGGGTCATCTTTAAGTTCTCCTTCTTATCCTCTAGGCAGATAAGTGGGATATAGCCATTCCCAAATTTCAGATAAGAAATCTGAGGGAGAGGGATGCTCATTCACGCTGTGTATTCCAGCAGCTAGGAATTAGAGGTCATTTTTAATATAATTAGTTAGGGGAGGGAAAACTTCCCTTTGGAAGGATCTCTCCTATGCCAGTCACAGCTCCTGACTGGACAATTCTCTCCCCAGCCACTCACTTAGATCCCATTTCTTCTGCTTGTCAATACTCTGGGCATGTGGGTATGCCCCCTTCCCTGCCATGACTTGGTGGGCTAAGGATCACCCAGCCTCCTTAACTAGCCCATGAATGAAATGCCCCATCTGGCTGTCAAACCGCCACCCCCCCCCAATGCCATCCTCCCACACAGTTTTCCCCAGCCTTCAGCAACTCTGGTGAGCAGAGGAGGGTGGGCAGTAGGGGTGAAGAATTGAAGCCCAAGAAGTTACCCCCACCACAATGTTGTCTGGAAAATCATTCATCCCCCAAGTTGCATTTAGAGCAGCCTTCTTTTTATCCTGCCTATTAGTCCCTGTTATGAAGTGTTAAGTATTAAAAACATAAAAGGTCTTTTCCAGAAATACTGCTGTGATTGCTTACACATGTCCCTTCTCTGCCTGCCCAGGGAATCTGCTCTAGTATTTCGATGTCTTAACCTCATCTGTTTTCTATCTGATGCTAATAGTCTCGGTGTTTAATTTCCTGAAAAGTCCCGGATCAGATTTAAAGGAAAAGGAGGAAGCATTTCGCCCCACATCTCACCTCGCTCACCCCAATCATTTTTTTTGTCCTCCCACTCTCTAATTTCACATTCCTCCCCTTTAAAGAGTGATCACTACTGATGTCCACCTAGGAAACCTCCTGCTGGGTGGGTGGTGACCCAGTTTGTATAGGTAGAGCACTTTATAGGAACACTAGAGGCCTGGTGCATGAAATTCATACACAGGGGGGTGGGGGTCCTTCAGCCTGGACTGCACCCTCTCCAATCCGAGACCCCTCGGGGGATGTCCGACTGCCCTCTCACAATCCAGGACCACTGGCTCCTAACTGCTCACTTGCCTGCCTGCCTGATCGCCCCTAACCACTCTGCCTGTTGGCCTGATGCCCCTAACCACTCCCCTGCTGGCCTGATCACCCCCTAACTGCTTCCCTGCCGGCCTGATCACCCCCTAACTGCCTTCCCCTGTTGGCCTGATTGCCCCCTAACTGCCCTCCCCTGCCAGCCTGATCGCCTCTAACTGCCCTCTTCTGCCGGCCTGATCATCCCTAATCTCCTCTGCCTCGGCCCCCGTCACTGTGGCTTTGTCTGGAAGGACATCTGGAAGATGTCTGGTCTAATTAGCATATTACCCTTTTACTAGTATAGATTCCAGATCAGGATCACACAGCAATTCATGGGAGAAATCAGCCAGTCCTCTCTTATCTGTACAGAGGCAGAGAGAAGCAAATTATAGACTATCCAAAATATATGTACATTTGTCTTTGCAATGATATATTATTATTAACAACAAAACCTTTTAACAAAACATTTTCCTCCCAGGAAATGTTTTTCTTAGACCAATAGAATTATTCCTAGTGCATAACCCAACTGGTCCATTGGGTAGAATCTGGGAGGCAGGGAGAAACCCGCCAGGATGGAGAGGCATCCTGGTGCATAATTCCCAAAGTTTACATTAAAAGAATGCTCAGCGAAGGTGGGCCAGTGTCTTTGAAAGACAATAGGCTTTGTTCTTGTGGCTTTCCCTTGGGTTTGCTGGCAAGTCCTGGTGTCTTTGTTTTCCTCTGGGAAACAAAGGGTCATGTTAGGGAAGTACATGTTTTGGGGGAAAAGAGAAATCATGAGTGAGAGTGAAGCTTTTTTCTGTCCTTTTGGGTTGGGAAACATACCCTGCAAGGTGAGGAAACTGGTTCCAATGTCCAAAAACATTTGTCAAGTCAGGACTAAAACCTCAGTGTCAAAATTCCAGCCAGAGCCCTGTAGCCAGGTGGACACAGCTTCTTTTACATGGCGAGGGGAAATCTGACCATGGTTCTGGGTTCCTGCCTGTAGTTTCAGTGGTTTATGGTGGTGCCTAAAGGTAATCTAAAGAGGAAAAAGCCAACCCCTTGAATATGTGCAGTACATTTATTTGTTTTTATTACATTGTAATTGTCTATTTTCCATTGAGAGGGCTGCAGGAGGATTTTGGTTGAGGGCAAGGGAGAACCCTTGAATTTGGTGCTGGAGTACGTGGGGAAGTGTTGGAAGTTGCAATGTGGGATGGCCTCTCTGAGGATAACTTGCAAGGGCATCTCAAAATGCCCATCCTGCCAGTAGCTGGATGTTCTCCTTTACTCTTCCCTGCAATTTGTCCCTATTCCCATGATCTCCCCGAGGCCCAGGATTTCTGTAGGCAGATTCCAGGCAAGCCCAGAGGCCCCTGAGAATACAAACTCCTTCCATTCCAGCTGGCCTCAAGCAGTTGTGCAATCTCCATAGACTCAGCCACAGCTAGCACCTGGAGGCTCTCTCTCTAATCCTGGAGGTTAATTAAAAAGAGACTCCTCCCTCTGGAGCACAGGGTCTTCCCACCTTTCTAGAAAGCAGGACAGCAGGAAGAGGGAGCAGTATGGGTGTGGATGGTAGCCCCTGGCCACTAGCAACTACCTAATTCCACATTAGCCAGACCTGCCTGATTTTCTCAAGCATCCCATTGAAGTGACCATTAGCATCTTCTGAGGGCTGTCTGACCCCACTAGCTCCTGGTGGCTCCCACCCACTTACAGGGGGAACCCAAAGCACAGCACTGGAATGATTTTAAACCCTTGGTCCTGGATTTTCCGGCTTTTGGTAATGATTGTTTTCTCTAGTGGACAGTTATAAAGTGATTCACTAAAAGGTGTATAAAGAGAGTCAGTCTGTCTTTTTGATAAAAAACGTTACTTTTCTTGTTTCCACTTCATTTCTTAGTTTCACTTGAGGATTAATTTTCCAATTCTGCACAGCTCTCATTGTACTATTAAAGGAAAAGACCTAGATAGTTGAAGTGACTTGCCAAAAAATTCAAACACGTCATTGTAGGATCCAGGTATAGAATTCCATTCTCTCCCATTTAGGTCCACCCTGTCCCATGCATGCCTCTCAGTTGGCCACAGCTGGCATCTTTCTGCCTGTTGCAGATGCAGGCTGCTCTCTGAGGAGCTTGTGGCCTGAGAAGAGGCCACAAGTTTCAAACATCTTGCTGTGCTCTGGCATTGTGAATGGTTTTAACAGTTGGGTTCCTTTATAGTCTCAAGAAATACTTAAACCAACTGATCCACTGTCAAACATAATCCTTAGGGAGCCTGTGGGCCACTTGTATGGTGTGATCAATTAGATGGGGTGGCCTCTAGGGGAGCTGTTACTTCCTGCCTTAAAGGTTTGGGGTCAGACCGACATGCCTGGAATTTCACCCAGGGCCCCTGAAATAAGGCGCTGTCCACTGAGAAGGAGCTGCAGATCTTCCCTGATCTGCTTTCAGGCTTGGCCAATGGGTGTAGAGGACATGCTAGAGCTCTAAGAGAGGAAGCGAATTTGCCAAAAGCTTCATTAGGAAATTCAAGACTATGCAAGTTTAAAGGAATTATCTCAATTTACTGTGGTTGTCCTTCTGAACTTTCCTCACACCACTCTAATCCCCATGGCAGAGACCCCAAAGCATGCCACCCTTCACCCTGACTGGGACCCAGGACCCTGGAACCTGGGGTTTAGCATGGCCCACTTGGTCTCTAATTATGTGTGATTAAATGTTTGTGGAGGTAGGGAAGGGTCTATAGCTGTGGTCGGCAAACTGTGGCTCGCGAGCCACATGCGGCTCTTTGGCCCCTTGAGTGTGGCTGTTCCAAAAAAATACCACATGCGGGCACGCACGTACAGTGCGATTGAAACTTCGTGGCCCATGCGCAGAAGTTGGTATTTTGGGGAAGAGCCGTTATTTTGTGGAAGAGCCACACTCAAGGGGCCAAAGAGCCACATGTGGCTCGTGAGCCGCCGTTTGCCGAGCCGCAGTTTGTCGACCACTGATAGCATTCTCCACCCTCTCCCTACCTCCCCTGTAAGGATGTATGAAATGGCTTGTGTGAGCCACATGGGTGTCCAGGCCCCTGATTTGCTGCTCTGTAGCTCTAGCTCTTCTGCAGGGGCTGCCTAATGATCTGCTCCTCTGTATCCATCTAGCCTATTTGCATGGAACTCAAACAGCTCTCTTGGCTCATCCTCATCTGTATCCATAAACTATGGATACAGCTCTGTGCTTAGAGGGTACCACACTGATAAAGGGACTTTCTGGAGGTTTCTGATAGCAGGTCTGGGATCCAACAAGGGATAAGGCCTGTGAGCTTGGCTCTCAGTTTGGGCCTGAGCCAACTGGGCCATCTTGACTTCTTGGAGTATTTTTAGTCATTCCTTCCAGGGCTGTGACAGGTAAGTGTTCTCAGGCTCAGGTTTTGGCTGGACAGCTGACTTGGAGAGGAATTTGCTCTAGAGGGCAGAGCCCTTGAGGCAGGTAGTGATGTGCCACAGCCCTCAAGAGAGGACTTGCCTGCATTTCCTGACGCAGGCTGGCCTCCCTTTGGGCCACAAATGATGTCACTGTGACAACCAGGTGCTGGTGAGTCCAGAGTTTGCACTGGGGAGAGTGAATAAAAGCCCAGGCAGTAGAAATGCCCAAGATGAGGGGGAGAAGAAGATGTAAAAGTAACAGTAAGATTAGTGGGTGGCACCTGCCTAGAATGAGCATAGTCCAAGCTCATGAATTCAGATCTTCCTGTGCTCATTATTCACATTGCCACCCCTTTTTTTGTGTCTCGGTTTCCTACTTTGAACATGGTAGTGACTATGGGTGCAGTTTGTTCTATCCGGATCTGTGTAGTTTCTGGTTCTATTTTTTGGTTGTTGGGAGAGTTTCTGACAATAAAAGTCTATAGCCACTAAGTAGGAATGCCAATTCTTGTTGAAGTTTTCGTTTCATGTCTTTAAAGATACTTAGGTGAAAGAATGGCTTCCTGTAGGGTGTATGTTGAACTGGATATACAAAGTACCCAATAGGAGCAGCTTTTCCTTGACGGAATTCCAGGTGAATTTTGTGTGATGTATAAGGAGATATGATGTATAAGGAGAATAAAGAACATAACAAGGTAGTAACTGTGTTATAAGTCTGTCAATTCTAAACAATTAATTTGATTCTGTGCTAGTATCTGTTCAGCATGGCCAACTAGGTGATGTCTAGTGATGCTTTGTTACCAAATTACTTCATTTACCTGTGGCTGACTTGTGAAGCTTGCTGGCCAAGTATTTGACACTAAAATGTGGTTTGCCCTTGGGACTGATACACAAGTTTGTCCACATGCCAGTTCTGCTAAAGTTGCTGTGGAAACATCACAAGATGGATGGCCTGATATGTTTGGTGCATTATTTTCTCCCTTATCCTCTAGAATATGTTCCAGTGTCTGCACAATGCCTGGTATATAGTATATGTTCAATTAATACTTGTTAAGTGAGTGAATAAAAGAATGTCAGGGCTCATTTTGTTGGACTAAGCAAGACAAAGGAATAATGAAAGAAAGATTACGATGGCTAGGTGTAGCATTACCTTGGAGTGTGACAAAGGTCACCTTTATTTTCTGGGGAAGAAGTCAGCTTCTATAGCCTTCTGCCTTAGGACATCTCCCTTGTGGATGTCTCATGAGAACTGTCCTAGAAGCTGGACTTTGAAATTCAATTTTGACTTGCTAGTCATCCAAATGAAGCCATTGGGGTGGCTTTGGGGGTAGAATCTTGACTTCCTAGGTTAGACAAAGGTGAACAGTTGCTCCCCCCACCCCCTCTAATCTGTTTCCCTATTTTTCTTGTTTAGCTGCTGTATCAAGAATGGGCACGCTATGGAGTGTTTTATAAGTTTCAACCTATTGACCTCATCAGGTAAGACGTGGGAGGAAATTCTTGGGAAGACTCTAGAGATGCAAATCCTGAAATATATCTGTGAATCCCATTAGCTTCTGGAGACCATTGGTCAAGCAGAGAAATCTGCTTTGCTAAGTTGTATTATTTCCCTGCTGTGTTTTATGGATAGGGAAGCAGCTCAGGGACAGGGAGAAAAATGGAGGCTGCGTGAGCAACAGATAATGTAGATGGATGCACCATGACTTCCATCTTGAGGTCCTTCAGCACTATGGTCAGTCCCTGCCTGCTCTTTTGTGTGTGTGTGTGTGTGTGTGTGTGTGTGTGTGTGTAGGGGGAGGGGGGAACAAATGGAATTATACTTCTTATTATTGTCCTAAAGAAGGATCTTGTTGAAGCAGATCCTTGGGTTATGCCCAAGTAATCATGGTGTTGACCAAAAAAAGGGAAGACCTGGAATAAGCTGGCTGGCCTGAGAGGTAATATGGGCTTTTTATGGCTTCTCCAAATTAGAAGGGGGGAGAGACCGGGTCCTGGCATCACTTCCTTCAGCACTGCCCCTACAATGATGTCCTGTTACCTTGAGAATTTCCCCAGCTTCCATAGAACATTGGTGAAGAGTTCTTTTAAAGAACATATTAGAATGCAGTAAGTCTGACTAGCATAAAATGGGTTGAGGGTTCTAGAAATTCAGTGTGTTCTTAGAGTTCAGCCTCTTTCCCAGCTGGATTATTGGGAGACAACACCTTCAAATGGGAAAGCACTGGGATGAGTCTGGAGACTGGGTTCTCTTTCAGGCCCAGCCACTCCGGGCTCTATGTTGCTTTGGGCAAGTAATGCTGCTCTTTGGTCTTCAGGATCCTGGTTGCCCTAAAATGGGAGGCTGAACTGAGGGATCTGTGAGGAAATTTGATAGAGTATGCTTATTTGGAAAAGAGGACGCTCGGCCTAGGACTCTCGGCCTATTTGAAATAATGGACTCACTGCCACAGCGTCACTGTGGTTCTTCTAATGAACTAATTAATCAGCATGCAAACACAGAGAATGTTCCTGGCTGATTGCCCTGGGCTGGGACTCTAAAGGGGGCAGCAGCCAGAAGGATTGAGTCCAGAGGGAGAAATTCCAGCTGCTTCTTGGAAGAAGAAAGCAGCCTGGGGCCATAGTTTGGGCAGGTTCACTTCCCACACGGAGCTGTGAGGGCCTTTCCAGGGAACTGGGAGCTTGGCTGGACGTCTCTTGACAACAGGTGTTTGTTTCAGCTGAAGACTGTTAACCAAAGTGCTTGGGTCAGGAAGCAGGGCCACTGGGTGCCTGTGACCAAGGCTCCCTCCCCCAGCACCTCCCAGGCCCCGGCTGCCTTTCATGAGGCACGGGCCACCTAGACTGTTCTCTGGGCCACACCAAGGCTGCTTCCTCCATGCCTGGTGGGCTTTGATCTTCCTCTCTGCATCTCAAGTGGCCACCCACTCTGTCGCCTGTTTTCTCCAACTACTCATTTGTTTTTTTCAAAATATGATTAAAAAATAAAAATTCTCCTTACTAGCGAGCCCTATCTGTGCCCCTGAGACTTCAGGTGACTGGCCGCCAGCTAAGTGGGAAATGGCTCCAATATGCACTCAGTTTTGGCCACCAAAGCAGCCTCACCTGCAGGGGAAGAATTGCCTTTGGAGCAGAGCCCTGCTCTGGGGGCCTGGCGGTTCCTGAGCACAGAAAGCTCAAATGTGTCTAGACGGGGCACAATGCACCACAGAGCTGGAGGCTGGCCACTGCTCCTCACGGATCAGATGGCTGGGGAGCTCCCACAGTCCTGGGCTAGGCTAGCGGCTTGGCCAGAGGGAGGAAGGCTGCACCTCAGGCATCTCTCAGATACTGGCTGGAGGGAAGGGACACTGGGTAGTGTGTGTGGGGAGTTGTCTACCCTGTAATATAAGGAACTCTCTGACCTCCTGGGGCTGCTGGAAAGAGAGAGTGAGTGACAGTAGTAGGGAAAGGGGAGAAGGACAGGAGCATTAAGGGCAAAGGTGGGTAAGCAGAGACAGGAAAGCCAAGAAAAGGCAGCTGAAGGGCTTCTAAAGAGACAACTGGGGTGGAGGAGTGGGGAACAGCTACCCATACTCTGCAGGCACTACCCTAAACTCATGTCACACTTTCTTCCAAATGGCCCATTTCACTTTCTCTGATTCTGTCAAAGTCACCTTCTTCTTCCTCTTGTCTGCCCTCTTTCTGACACCACACCCCCGGTGCTTCCTCAGCATCATTTCTCTCTGCCTCCGCCACTTCTCCATCTTTCCTGCTACCACCTGTCAAAACTGCCTGTGGCTGCCTTCCTTGAGCCACTGTGGCCTCACACTGTGATGAGGCTGTTCCATTACTACTTCCTAATGTGAATTGTACCCTCTTGGTGCCTCACATAGAAATTGCACCCATATGGTCTGTGTTTAAAGATGGACAGAGGCAGGGAGTCTGATACAAGCTGAGTATAATTCAGACGAAAGTCTAGCAGAGCTATTTCCCACCTATTTCCTTGAGTACTCAGCTTCGTGTTTAGCATTGAGCTTCTGCTCTTCCTGAGAAACCCCAGTGTGCCCCTCGCCCCCATGCCAGTCCTTTGGAACATCCTAAAGCACTAAGAGCTCAGTGGGGGTGGGAGATCTGTTTACAATGTTTGAAGCCCTTCTTCTGCAGGTCTTCAAGCCTGAACTTGATATTTGGGGTTAAAGGCTCCTTTCCCAGGTGGTGAAAGTGGGCAGAGGGGAGGCAAGACACCTGCACCCCTGGCCCCTGCCTCCTCCTCTTGCACCTTCAGGCATGCCCAGCAGGCTGCACTGTGAGACTGCTGATGTGTCTCTCCAGCCCAACTGGGATTTACACCTTTGTTCTAGAAACCTCTGGTCCTGCAGGCCTGAGTGAGTGGAGTGTGTGTGTGTGTGTGTGTGTGTGTGTGTGTAAGAGTTGCCAGGAAAGTTCCCTAGGAAGGTATCCAGCAAGGACCCACTCCCAGTAGATTCTTCTGGGGACATCCAGCCAGCAGCACTTGTGCCCTGGCAGAAATGTGGTTTGTGATTAAGACAATGAGGGACAGGATGTCTTAGCTGGAGGGAAGCAACTTTTCCAGTTCTTTAGGAGCCGCATGAGGGGCCTTGCTGCCAGGGGAGTAGGTTTCTGCCTGCATTGCTCTGGGTTAACACCCCAATGTCCCAGGAAGGAAACAGCCTGGATTTCCTGGGGAATCTGGGGGTCAGGGGCCCTCTGGGTTTGTACAGATGTGATCCACTGTTCATCAGGAACATGACCTGTCTTTTCACTAGAATTAATGTCTGCTCACAGGCTGATTTTCTTAGCTTGGAAGTTTTGATATGGGTGAGACAAAACAGACTTTAAACATCTGAGTTTGATTTAGCTCCTAACTATACTTGCTGAAGTTTATGTACAAAATGTTTATTTTTAAGCATCTGCCACTGCATGAGGAAGAGAGGGGTTTACAAGCCTACTAGGCTCAAGGGATTGCCGCCCGTTAACTTGGGAAATTCACCAAGGAGGTTATTCATGGGCAGCACACTGAATCAGGAGAGGGCTCAGTGGCTGTCACTCACTCATTCCCATCTCTTTTAGGGATGCCCACTTCAAGAGTGAGGCTTCCTAAAAATCAGGCCGTGGGCATGAAACCTGTCCCTGGGGCAGCTCTGAAGTTCCCTTAGAAATTTTCTGGCATAAGCCCATCTGGTATGGCTCAGTGGTCGAGTGTTGACCCATGAACCAGGAGGTCACAGTTCGATTCCCTATCAGGGCACATGCCTGGGTTTCAGACTTGATCTCTAGTAGGGAACATGCAAGAGGCAGCTGATCGATGATTCTCTCTCATCATTGATGTTTCTATCCCTCTCTCCCTCTCCCTTCCTCTCTCTGAAATCAATAAAAACATATTTTTAAAAAAATGTTCTGGCTTGAAGCTTTGAGACATGAACACTTCCACAACAACCTGAGGGGTCATACCATCTCAAGAGCCTTTGGGCATCATCTGTGGAGAGCAAGAGTGATATGTGCCCCCCTCTTGGCACACATCTCTATCATTTTAGACTCCCATCCCTCTCCAGCCCTGCCCTTAGGGAGCCTGTCCAGGATTCTGGCATCACAAGAATTAGCTAGCCCTCCTCCTACTGCAAGGCAGATGTCCTTTTCCTTGCCAGAGTTCTCATCCACAAGAAGGCTGTGTGATTTGATCCATCCTTCTTGGTCAGTCTCTAGGCCCTACCCCCATCCAACCCCCCTAGGAGGAAGATAGGGAGCCACATTCTTTCTTAGGAGGCTTCTCAGCAGGCCAGGCTGGTTTAGGGGTGGGAATGGAGAGGAAACAATGTTAATCAACCTGTGATTAATTATTTCCTGAGCCCTGCTGCCTCCTCCTTGATCCTTCCTTGGGATTTATAAAGGCCATTCAGCCCAATGCAATAAATATTTACTGACACTTACGATGAGCAAAGTCTCTGTGCTCAGAAACATGGGTGGTGTAGCAATAAATAAGGTGAAGTTTGTGCCCTAAGGATCTAGCAGTTATGTAGGAAGACAGGCATGTGCAAGAGAGGATGAAGTGAGGGCTTTTAAGGATATGAGTATAAACATGATAGTACACGACAACAGAAGAAGAGTAATTGCTATTAGCAGAATAAGGGAAGACTTTCTGGAAGAGGTGGCACTTGAATTAGAGTGTTGCTTTCTGAAGGACTGAGGTTAAAGGCCCTGAATGTGTCTTCATTGCCAGCCTGGGCTGCCCTGTGTATGGATTTCTTGTTTAGCTTGATACTCATGGCCAGAAATCACACTGACCTTAAAGCCCAATCCTTCCTGCCTGTTGATTGGGAGTGGTAAGATAAAAAAACTTGATTTGCAAATCTCACCTGTATGAATTTCGTGCCAGCCTGATCCATGCACCTTGATTTGCCCTATAGGTTAGGAGAGAATCCAGGGTTGGAATCCAGGGTGAGGCTGGATCTAAGAGAGGAGGCTAAGGAAATGTGAAGTGG